CCGCTGTGGTCCAGGGTCGTCCAGGCTGTCGATCTGCTTATGATCAGCAGTTGAAGCATTATAATTATTACTTATGGCTGTTATTGTTGTTAATGTGTTGTTGTTGTTGTTGTAGTCATTGTTATTGCTGCAGCTGCTTTACACTCTAATTTGTTTGTTGTATTCGAGTTTGTCCTTCTGTTGACATTTTGCACGCGTTTTACCTTATTTCGGCAATTGTTCGCCTGAGCCCACGCAAAATTGTTACCAACCAAAGCAAAGCAAAGCAAACCGAAGCGAAGCAAAGCAATTCAAATCGCATTGAATACATTGAGGTAGGTGGCAGCTGAGGCGCATTTAGTGTAATATAACTTAAACGCAATTTAATGGCAAAGTTGTTGTGTTTAGGAAATACCCATTGATGATTAAGAAACCTAACACGAGTGCAAACAAACCTTTTCTGTAAATCAACCAAATTAAGGGCAATCAAAAAGTTTGGAAAGGACATCGAACTGCCGGAAAGTTATTTAATTGAGCAGCTTCGCGTGCAAGCAAACCAGTTTTCTGTATGCACAAAGTAAATGTCTTACAAAATATAAAATTAAATATGATATACTATATAATAATTAAGATACTAAATGACTGCGAGATTGCTGAAGAAGGCATAAAGATAAGCAAAGGAAAAAGTTGTATTTCAATTAGTGTATAGACTTATCTATTGACTTGCATCAATATTAAATATTTATTAAATATCGAGAAAGCCTGAATAAGCTTTAGCTTTAACTCGGCCTTCAGCTAAATTCCCAACTTTATATCTGGTTTCTAGTAAACTCCAATTCAGATATAAAATTAGTTAGGCAGTATTATTATTTTATTTTTATTTTTATTTCTTATTAATTTTTTATTATTATTTTTGTCTTTAATTATTATTATTATTATTTTTTTTAAATTTTATTTTAATTATTTTAATTTTTATTTATTTATTTATTTTTTTGTTATATAGTCTGGTTTCTAGCAAGCTCCAATTCGGATATAAAATTAGTCAGGCAGTATTATTCTTTTATTTTTATTTTTTATTTTTTATTATTATTTTTGTCTTTAATTATTATTATTTTTTTTTTTATTTTATTTTAATTATTTTAATTTTTATTTATTTATTATTTTTTTATATAGTATAAGTCAGTCTAAGTTTTATAAGTCACCTAGTTCTTTATTATGCATTCCATCTATCTACAACAGCATATGAATTGCTGTCATATAACAAACTTACATAATTTATGTTTATATTAAAACGCACCTGATATGCGGTATACACGGCTAAGTCTGTGCCGTAATATGTGAATCACCTCATTAGATTGCATGACAGCCATTGGCGACGCGTCGCGAGACACTGGCTAGGCCCAAAAGCCACAAAGAAAATATGAAATTAAATAATATAAATAATAATAAATAAAATGTATACAAAAAATATTTTTAAATATGACGCTATTCACCTCAAGTTCAATGTTAATGGCGGCAAAACATGGAAGCGCAGCTATTGTTAAAAAAAGCAACAAATTCGAAGAGAGTAAGGCATCTGAAATCCTTCTAGATGATGCGATTTATGATGTCTAAATGAGTGGAGAGCCGTTGCGAATGGATAGCTAAGCTGCATAAACTGGGTCAGCAGGCACTTGGCACTGGTTGTTGCATAAGCCAGAACCTTTTGGACCGGTTCAGCGGAGAGGACACCAGCCAAGGGCAGCGCAGCCTTGATGCCCCGATAGGCCTACCTTTTGTCTGGCCACAAGTTGCAATCACCACCTGCATTAAGCTAAGCGACTAAGCTGCTGCTGCCGTCTGTGAACCGGTTGCCCCGCAACGAGTTGCAAGTGCCACAACGCCTGGCAACGAGCCCAAGTTTCGGCACTTCATTAATGAAGCTCCGACAAGCCACAACCTTGACAGACCCAAAAGAAAAGAAAAAAAAAAGAGACTCGAATATTTATTGCATTGTAATCAGAAAGCGCGCACTGACCAGGCCGGGTCGGGCCTGGCTGGGCCAGGAAACCGCAGATTGATCCGAGTGCGTGGAACAGGTTGTCCAGCTCGGCTCCCTCTTTGGGTTAACTGACTGCAGTTGACCTCCACAATTGGCGCTACATATTTCCTGCAGTTTATTTTCGTTTTATTTGCCGAACGCACGCTTTTTAATTAAAACTCTGCTGTTCAATTATGTTGAAAAATTGCAAGTGCAACGCCTCTCTCTCACCCTCCCTCCCTCCCTCTCTTTCGTTTGCTCTCTCTCTCTCTCACTCTCGACAGAATTGGGTTACATGTGTCAAGCGTGCAGCCCCATAAAACACGCTTTGGGCCTATGTAGAACTGGGCCCGGCCAACTCGAAAATTGTTGTGCAATTAAAATCACATTTTGAGCCCGCAAACGTTTTTGTGAATGGCTTCACACAGAGACGACTGAACGAATGCGAGCTCTTTGCTTGGTGCGTGCCGCACCGTCCGGGCGGGTGTATCTGTGTAAGTGTGTATGTGTGTGTGTGCCTGTCTGTGTGTGTGGGTTGGTCTCGGTATTTGCAAAATGTTATGGCCATAATGAAAGACATGGCAATAATGTAAAGCACATTTCAAGCACTTTAAACTCTCAACATTTATGGGCTGACAGTTATTTTTGTTGTTGTTGTTGTTGTTATTTTTTTTGAATAAAACTGTTACCAAATTGCGTAAGCGCACAATGCTGTTGCCAGCCACACACGTGAAAAAGTGCTGCCCATTTGTAGCATTAGAGCAGCTTAGCAAAGATTTCTTATATTCAGGAAAATGTCTTATTGGTAATTGTTCTGTTAAGCTCTGATTGCCGCAAAGGTGCTGCAATAGGCATTATTCAAGCAGCTGTACCATAATAATATTTATGTATACAATATTTAATATATTTATATACATTTTCAATAAAGAAAAAAGTGTTGCAAATTCATATTCTGCTTTTGACAGAGAAAACAGCAGCTCATTTGTAGATAGTATTAAGTTTGAAGACTGGTTGTGGAATTAACGATATTCCCACTATTTCTCGAGATTACTCCAGTTAGTCAGTGCTGCCTATCACAGCCTATCAATTACAGTGAAAAGTGCTGCCCATTCGCTCACTAAAATTTCATTATTTATTTTCATAGTATTAATACAAGTGTTAATCAATTAAATGCTGCACATTTAGCTTAATCTATTCATTTAAAACACTTTAAGCCTTCCTCTCTCTTCTCTCCCTCACGCTCAACAAATAAATCAACATTTAATAAAGCACTTACTGAGCTATTTTTTTTTTTTTTTTTTTTTTTTTTACTGAGCTATGCATAACAATGTTTAAGTACAGTTAGCTAGCTGGTATTGCTATGTTAGAGTTGGAATTTTTCTTATGCATTTATTAAATTCTATTCGTATTAAACAATTGTTTTAATGCCTCAATTAGGCTATTTATATTCTGTAGAAAAAAACAATTTCTATGCAACGGCAATTGTTAGCAGATAATAAATAAATGACAAAAGGACAAGTTCAATGCTAGCTAAAAATACAAATATAACAATTAAATTGAAATTAAATATATTTATAATTTTAAACAAATATTGAACTTAGATTTAGATAGGTTTCCTATTATAATAATATATTTATGCAGTTTTTTATCGGATGCATCGCCTCTAGATTTGCATTGTCCGTTTCCATTGCGTGACACATGCCACATGCAACTGTTGTTGGTGTTGTTGTTGTTGTTGTAGCCGTGGCTACTGCTGTTGTTGCATCGTGATTAATCTGCATATGCATAGAAGCTGGCCGTGCGGCCTTCTAAAAAATCGCGACATTAAATTATGCGCCTAGGCCTATTATTTTATGCAATTGATAAATTGACAAAACGGGCCGGCACAACATTTTGCTATGCCGCTCACTTTTCTAAACAATATTGTTGTTGTTGTTGGTGGTGTTAGTGTTGCTGCTGTTGCTGCTGCCGCTGCTGCCGCTGCTGCTGCTGCTGCAGTGAAAATCCGCTCACAATGCGTGCCAAGTTTGTCAGCCAACACGCTCTCAACTTTCATACGTGAACTTTTCATAGCTGTTGTTGTAGTTGTAATTGTTGTTGCTGTTGTTATTGTTGTTTGTCTGTCTGTCATTCATTTTCAATGTCAAGGTTGCAATTGTGTGCATTTGTAATTAAAAATGTTTATAATGCATTTATTGACTTTCAATTAGCTACAAAGCATCCTTGTAATCAAAAGGCACTTAGTATGGGTGTGCGAGTGTCTGTGTATGTGTGTGTGTGTGGGTCTATTCTTAAGTTAGTTAGCTGATAATAAAACGGCAGCACAAGTGGCACAAGCAAATGAAAATTCATTAACAAAAAAAAGACTCAAATAAAATAAAATAAAGTACAAAAAAAATTAAAAAGAATAAAAATTTTAACCAAAATATATTGAAGGCAATTTGTCGACGTTGTCAAGCTGCACTTGCCTATAATAAATTCTATTCGCAATGAGCTTGTTGCAGATATATATACATAAGTGTATACATACATATTCATTTATATATACATACATATAAAACATTGAACTCGCGTTGCAATTTGACAAATTGCAAGCAATATTCAAATTGGGATTTTGTGTCGTATTTTTAACTCGATTTTCTACCTTTTTCTCTTTTTTGGAGGTGGAGTTGCAGCCGTCAAGGCTACGTGTGATACGCATAAATCATGGGCATGGACAAGTCATATATGTACTGTAGATATATATGCATATGTGCCATATATAATGCACCTTAATCACTTAAACAGACAAACTGACAAAATAGACCACATTTATTACGCATACGTCTTGTGGCCCTAAAAAAACAATGGGATAAACAATTACGTGAATTTGTTAATATTTAATTTGGATCATTTGCTTAGCTATTGAAGCATTACTAAGTATGTACACGGTTAGTTAAGTTGATAATTACATTTTAATTGATGGCTTTAACTCAACAGGTGGAAATTGGCAATTTCATTTAGTTCTGTCATGGAGATGAATCGCATTTGTTGTTACCTCTGTCTACTCTGGCTGCTGGGAATCGGCTTTACCGTAGAAGCAGCACGAGTGAGTGCCCTAAGGATTCAATAACTATGACCCTACTGCCATTATATGCTCTTCAACTCTGCAGCGTCTGCGTTATATGGTGAATTTTCATGGCTTCGACTGCATCAATAGCTGGTCGATCATCAAAAACTGGAGCTGTGTCATCGTCGAGAATGGCAATATCAACACAGAATTGACACTGCTTGAGCCCATGCCTGTGGTCTGGATCAACTGTAAGCTGATTGTCTTGCGACCCCCACAGAAAACTGAAATGGTTATCTTCAATACAACGTTGGATATCTGTAAACTGCTAAGCAGCGGCAGTACGGCTAACAAGCTAGTGACCTCTGTCTATCAAACGATGCTGAAGGCGACCAATTTGGTACCACAGTGTCCCATTAGGAAGGTAAGTGCATAGGATGTAGAGGTCGTCTGCTGTATAGAAGCTCATTCCTCTTCTATAGGGCCTACTGTACTTCCATAACATGGGTGATTTGGAAAAATTGCCGGCTTTTATGCCAGAGATGGATTTTAAAATCTATATAAAATTCTTTAAGCCTAACTCCGCAGAGAATTTAGAAGTTTTCTTGAACGGGAGTCTTATCGAAATTAATCGACTCCGTCAGAAGTTGATTCATTGAATATATATGTATGTATAAATATATAGACATGTGAAAGGTTTGAAAAATATAACCAAATTTTTAATTTCGTTTTAATCAATCATTGCTGATTCATTTGTTGAACTTGTTAATGCCTGACTTTATATAGTCACGCCAGTTAGAAGGAGCACCGGCATCATCATCATCATCATCATCATTGGCTGACCTCAGATGTCAAATTCTGTTGCCAGTGAAATCGCAATTGTGTGCTTTTGTTTTGCTTTGTTAAGCAACCTTGGCCTTACATAGAATCGAAACGAAAACAAGCGTTTGATGACTTAACGTTGAATACAACTATATATATAAATATGTATACATATTTATCGTATTGCTCGATTCACACAGATCTGTCATAATTCTAACGGCACTTTGTTAAAACAGCTGTTAATCAGCTCCACAGCTGCCGTCCCTAGACACCGCCCATTCACGAAGCTTAGCGGCTGACATTGCAATGCTATAAATAAAACACAAATCTAACAACAATCCAAACTTAATAAATACAATTGCAATAAAGAAAAAAAAATACACATAAACAAATAATAGCCGTTAGTGCGGCCCGACCCCGTCTGGGGGTCTGTTAGATTAATTGCACATTGATTACAGACAATTGCAATGTCAACGAGCCGCGCTAAACGGAAATACAAAACGCTAATCGCGCACAAAACGCCAGAAAAACGCGTCAAAGTCGCGCGCGATCGCGTCAGACGCCTACAATTGAAGCAGCTAATACGGAAGTAGCTCAAGTTCGAGCATTTGTATGCCAGCACAAACGGGAGAGAAAGAGAAAGAGAGAGAACGAGCGCGAGCTCACTTGATGACCCAGCCGAACTTAGAAACGAAGAAAGCTGCCGCCACCCACCTTTAAAGAACAGCTCGTCACTGCACTTTTCATGCGCTCAATTTCAGCTGGGTCTGCTCTAGTTCAGCCAGAGGCGAAGGTGAAACACATTCCGTCACTCGTCAATATTTGAGTTGTTGTTGTTGTGAGTAGTCCAGTTGAACCTAATGCACTTTCCAACGGCGTCTGTATGGGAAATCAGTATTATGTGAGCAACTCACTGCTGTTTTCATGATGCACAGAATGCTCTTTGAGTTGACTGGGTAGGTCGATTGCAGTTACAGACGAAGGCGCTAGTCTCAGTGTGTGTGTTGTTGCTAATATTACACAATTTACAGTAATTGAGTGGAAGCTGATAGCAGAGTGTTTGTCTTTCAGCATAATTGTGAACTTTGATGCTATTTATTTTTCATTTTGCACTTCGGATTGGTTTTTAGTTACTTAAGTGTTTCAATAAATACTTATAGGCTATGCGAAACGTGTGTAGCACACGCCTCTTTAGGTTAGCAACTAAAATACAACTTCAACGGATGTATGGAGGAAGCTAGGCGGGAAAATTGGAGTTGGGAGAGAGTGAGAGGAGGGGAGGAGTGGGAGCGGTTTAATTAGCCGGCGGTCAACGAGAAACAAAAGTAGTTTGGCCTCAAGAGTTGCGTCTACTGCACGCTAGGCGGCACACCGAACAACCCGAGGCGAGGCGGCCCAGCCTGGCCAGCAATATAGGAACACAATACTACAACTTAAGCTGGCGCTTGGCCAGCTGCTTCTGTTTCCGTTCGCGATGCAGCAGGAACTCGCGCCGTACATCGCTGGCACGCATCTCCAGTATGCAGTTCAGTTTGTTGCGTATCTGCTCCGCCGTATGCACGTCCGTAACGAAGTCATAGTGCTTGAAACGAATGTTGGATATGGTGGTAGCGCCGAACCGTGAACTGGAGTGCATCCACGGGGAGCGCGGATTGGCAGGTGAGTAGACACCGTTCCCGCTCGTGATGCTCGTCATGCTGGGTGCCGAGGTGCAACTAATGGGCAGGCTGATGGAAGAGTTAGCTTTTAGCCAAATGCGCAGCATCGCCCTCAGCTGTCCCTGGTCCACAATCTCGCAGTGCGCCACCAAGTCAATGGGCGTCGACAGGGGCTTCCGATGCATAAAGAAATGGTTATTGAGCTGATCGATCTCAATGCGTTCCCCCGAGACGGCCAGCGTCGCATCATACTTGAAGAAGGGTCTGCCGATGATGCTGACTCGATAGGTGCGATGCATGGGTGCCTCCAGCATATCATTGTGATTAAGCAGGCGCTGCTCATACTCCTTGACATGATCCGGCGGACTGTCTCCTCCGCCCGCATCCGGCACATCGCCATTTAAATTGATGTTTTGCAGGGCATGCAGTGCAGCATCCGCCATTGCCGCCTTATCCTCCTCGGATGTCATGGACTTTGTGCCCAGCTGATTGTGATAGTCAATGCGGGTGACTGGCGCCAAGGGCCTTCGTTCGGCCAGCGTCAAATGCGAGAAGCCAAATTTGGAGCATGGCTCACGATTGTCTAGTGGCGGGAAATCATCCATGTCATCGTTGTCCTCCGTCATATACAATGCATAATGCTGCACAGATTGCAGCTGCACTGCATCTGGATACTGTAGGGTAGTCTTGTAGCAAACCAGGCCAATGACCTCTATGATCTTCGCCGTAGATAGCACACAGATCTTGAGCGGGTAATTGCGCTCCGGCTCGGGCAGCATATTCACATAAACATTTATTCGCTTCGTGGGCATCCCCACCTGGGCGGTGCCATCGAAGCGCGCATACTCAATGAAACGATTCTGTGCCTGTTTCGGACTTCTGGCTAGCTGCTCCGACAGCTTGCTCCTGACACGACCTTCGGAAACTTCATCATCGCTGACTGTTTCCGTTCGGCTCACTTTTGTTGCTCGTACTGCTGCCGCTGCCGCAGCCGCTGCAGCGGCGGCTGATGTGGAGGGCTTATCAATGGGTTGTTCGTTAAGCACTTTTCGCTTGAAGAAATCTTTGCGATCCGGCGGGACCACTTCCTCATTGTAGTTGACGCTTTTAATTCGCGCCGCTTTGCGCTTGGCTATATCCAGTTTTTCGAGTTTCTGCGCTGTATTCGAGCGAAACCGATGGGCGCCCACTTCGGGATACATTTGTATGTCAAACGAATGCGTCGACATATCTAGATCCTCATCATCGCTCAGATCGAGTCCCGGGTAGCAAACGAAATCGACCTCTTGCAGCGGCGGATCCGCTATTCGCGGTGGCACCATATGCTGCAGTGGAGCACTTCGTTGCATAGGCGTGGCAGTGTCTGGAGTTTTGGGAACTTGCGATTTACGCTGCTGCGCGGCTCGATGGCTGCGTCTATAGGCTTCCATCGCTGGGTTGGCAGTTTGAAATTTCCGCAAATAATGCTTGGGCATGTCGTCGCTCAGCATTACGGTCTCGCATATGCCCGTATCATCTGTGGAGATGAATGAGTTGCGTATGTGCGAGAGGAGCCAGTGCGCATTGGAATACGTGGCCATTGCACTAGGTAACACGTCTCTTTCTTCACAAAACAATACAAAATTCTTAGTTATCTCAGCATTTGTAGCTGCCAGGAGTTGTGTTCCTCTTAATTATTCTTCTTCTTGTTTAGTTTTTGTTCCAAACCAGCACTAATTAGAATATGTGGCCACCCCTAAAATTTAGCATTGCTACCACTGTTGTTAACAGTGGTAAGCCACTATGCTGGGAAATTGACATATTTACTTTTTTTTGGTTTGAAAAATAGATTTGGTAAATGCAGATTGTTAATAAATTATCCTGATTATATTTTTATGTTAAATATTAGTTTGTATTTACAATAATACTAGGAGAAAACGACATTGCCGCCGCTAGATAAACTATAACATTAGTTCATTAACAGCGCTATACAAGTTGTAACAGAACAGCTGATTACGAGATGCATCCCTGTTAATGTATTTGCCAGGCATATTGCACGGCGAAGATTACGCCACATATATTCGCCTTAACATTAATGTACTTTTTGAATTTCTGCTTAATATATTACAAGGCATATGCTGATTATAGAATATATTGTACATATTGTATTAATTTTATGATGCGACAAGAGGTTATGCCTGACAGATGGGAGTTATTTACTATTAATTAGAATATGTTTTGATTACTTCTATGTATTATATATGCATTATGTATATACATGTATATTTTAATAAAATATAAAAAATTTAATACAAAAAGTGTTAAATTTTCGCACATTGTAAAATGTGGATATGATGGATTAATTATCGATATATCTTCGATAAAATTCAATATGCACTATACCGATAGTACGATGTATTGATATGTAGCTCACATCGCTACTACCATATGACTTTTCTACAAGACGCGAAAAAATTACATATAATTTAGGGAGTTCAAAGTAAGTTTTAGTACACTTGTACTCTATATGGATCTGTTATTTCCAATAAGTACGATTCAGGATTTAAAACCGCATCGGATCGATGTTGTAGCAGCGCCCAAAATGGCGGGCATCCCGGTGGAATTCGATGAGACAGTAGTCAATCAGTTTAGCTGCAAACGTTGCGACCGCGTAAGTTTCCCTGTCATAGAGTTCACTATAACACATTATCTACAAAATATATTCCTTTTGGCCCGCCCGCAGACGTTTAAAAGTAAACGCGATCAAACGCTCCATCGCCAGGAGGTGCACAATCATAACAAAACTACCTACGAATGCAAACTGTGCGCCAAAAATTTCTGCAACAGCGGCAATCTGGATCGCCACATGAAGGTCCATAACGATGTGCGTCCCTTTGTATGTAACATATGCTCGAAGGCGTTTGCACAGGCTGTCAATCTGCAGCGACACTATGCCGTACACAGCGGCGAGCGTCCATATCAGTGCACCTTTTGCAATAAATCCTTTACCCAGCAAAGCAATATGAAACGCCACAAAATGACACACACGGGCGAGAAGCCGTTTCGATGCCAGCGCTGTGGCCGCTACTTCTCGCAGTTGGTCAACCTCAAGAAGCATAAGCTGGGCCATTTGAATGCCAAGCCGTATCAGTGCAACTATTGTGAGAAGGGCTTTACACAGCTCTCCAACTTCAAGCGTCATCTGCAGTCACACATAAAAGAGGGCGTCGATGTCGATGTGCCCGGTGCAATACAACAGGCAACGGCCCTAG